TAAATGGGACGACGACAAGGATATACCAAAAGCTTCTTGGATTTAACTGGTGGTATGTTATTTTAAAGGTTACAGCTAATCTAATGACAGTACAAAGGCGATTCGAACACATATGACGGAAGATGGTGATAATAATCGGTCACCGGGGATCAGAACAAACATAAGAAGCCCCCCAAACGCAGACAGGAAAGTCGACCTTTTAGATTAGTGGTCGGTTCTGTGGGGGGATTTCTCACGGGTCGTACTTGTAACGAACTCCTCCTGGAGAACTTAGATCGGATCGCTCTAAATTCTGTTGGTCGGGGTCGATCTAAAGACCATTCACGATTAAAAGTTACGCTCTTGGGCGGAGTGTGCGTCGAACGGGTGTTCAAAAATATCAGCGTGTCGCCATGAAACAGGAAGTTGTCAACAGCGGTTGTTTGTTGTTGTTGTTCTTTTCCTGATAATAAAACAACAGTCAGAGCAACAAACCAGGAGTGTTTATAAAATAAAAGTTCACACTGCTATCCAATCAGAAAAACCAGCTGAATTTATCCTCCCCTCCATTCCTGGGGGGAGGCAACGAGCGGGCGTGCGAAGGTCACCGTGACATGCAGGTTATTTTCATTGTTAGAGGGCGTGGGGAGTGGGAACGAGTGTGTGCGGTGGTGTGTGTGGTGTGTGTGATGTGTAGCTGTGTGTAAGATGGTGTTGTGCTGTGAGGGACTCACTCTCGAGTGTCTCCCAGTGCGCGCCTGAAGGCTTCGTCACTGCTGTTGGAGTTCAGTGTCTCAGCGGTGCACTAGGGAGGGACGGTCAGAGGGTCAGTCACAGTTGAATCAATACTCTCTCTCCCGCTGGTTGTTGGATGACCAGCAGAATTCGGCTCCTGCCAACCAAAACCTACTTTAAAAAAACTGACACATTTTAAACAACAGGGGGATGGATATGTAGGGGCCTTGTTGCGGCAAATTAAGATTAGTGCTTAGTTGGCAATAACACTCGCTCATAGATATATACATGACTGTTATAATGTATGTTAACCCTTAATGGTAACTTTCACCTAAAACTTAACAGTGGGGATCATTTCACAGTCAATAAAAAGATCATTTGGATCTAAAGGGGTGAAATTCAACCTTCTATTGTACTTTGTTGTTTTTATGTTAATATAAAATAAAGTTAAATTGAATAATAAAGATAGTGCAAAGAGTCACTAAATACATGAAATTAAAGGAAGAAGAAAGTTACTTACTGCATATAAAAGTAATTAGTTACTAGGTAAAGTAATGCAGATATTATAATAATGTGTTATTAATACTGCAGACCACCAGAGGGCAGCAACGAGTAACACTAGTAGAACCTACAGTGGCTGTGAGTGTTTGGTTTGTCCCTCCTGAGCTACTGTAGAAACATGGCTCATTATACACTAATGTAAACATACCTATGAATCCACAGTGAATACCTAATCGACCAATAATCGACCAATAATCGACCAATAATCGACCAATAATCGACCAATAATCGACCAATAATCAATATCCTCTCCCTCCCAGCCTCGGCGAGGACCAGCAGCCGCTTCGAGCACCTGCACAAGGTGACCTTCGACAACGTGACGGCGTACCTGCAGAAGAAGCAGCAGCGGCTTGAGGAGCAGCAGCTGAAGAGGACGAAGGCGCCGAAAGCAAACGGCAACAAGAAGGCGAGGAAGGAGACGGCCGAGACCCCCGCGTCCACCTGAGCCGGCCCCTCACACAGAGCTCGATTATTGATTATTGATTATTATTATTTTCTTTATTGGACGATGGATCTGAGTTGAACGTGATTTGATTTATTTGATTTTTAAAAATAAACACAGCAGCTGAACGTTTGTTTTATCACTGAATGAAACATCAGTCAGTGAACGCACCATATGTCCCCTTCCTCACATCCACGGCTCCTCTTCCTCCTCCTCCTCTTCCTCGCTGTACGTGTTACTTTGGCTTCCTACGCCACATCAACAGTTAGCATCTTTGTGACGCAGCGTGTCCGTTTGACGCAAACAGCAGCTGTTCGGAGGAAGAGGAGGTGCAGAGACGAAGGTCGTTCCCACTGCAGACATTAGGAATTTGAGCTGTTTTAAGTCCAAAAATAAATACAAAGGATATAAAGAAGAATCAGTATTGGTTCATTTTGTAGTTTGTAGTGCGTCAATATAAATCTTTCTCCCAAAAGTCACATTTAGAGTCTGAATAATGCAACTTTATACAAATGTTAATTCAGTTAATTTTTTAGGTGTTTTTAACTTTATTTGTATTATTATTTGACAAAAAAAGGATCATCAAGAGTCCTGCAGATGTTTAAAGTTAATATCATTTTAAAGACTTGTTGTAGATTGTTGTAGTTTAAACTTTACACTGAGACACAGAATAAATAATAAAGTGCTGCTGCTGATGATGTCCCACAATGAGGGAAATAAAATAATAATAATCCAATAAACAGAAATAAGCCTGCAGGTAGTCAAACTCTGAATGACACTAAAGTCTGCCGATCAAACCAAAAGGTTGCTGGTTTAAGTCCAACATGAACCACAGTGTTCCCATGTGTCCTGGAACACCTGGAAATTTAATAGGTAAAGAAAGAAAACTAAAGTGAATAGTCTGATAGAACAATGAGAAGAAAACACCGTTTCCAACACTCCTCAGTGTGTGGTTCATTCTGGGTTCACACTTCCAGCTCCCACAGATAAACCCGCTTCAGATACCTTCACACTGACTCTGGACAACGAATTGAGCTTCGACCAACCACAGACGCTGCCAACAACGGCTCAAAGCTCGTTCTGTTGATACTTTATTAAAGTAAAGCCCAACCAACTCGTCCTCTGCTGCGTATAAAGTGTCTATGGTATCTGTGGGCTGCAGCAGATGTTTCTCAGCACAATAACGAGTCCATCAGAGCGTCCTACGTGTTTGATTCCTCGCCGCTCTCATGCCTTAAAGAAGGGACGTCGTCTCACTCTGATTGGCTGAGAGATCAATGACCAAGCTGCTCCCCATCATTATTAAACTGATTTTTATGTTTATTTAATATTATATTAAACTGTACAATGAACCCAAACAGTGAACTCAGTAACTGCAGGAAGTTTTTGTAAAACCAGAGATGTGGATGAATTCTGAGCAGATTATTTCCTGTTTATGGAATTTTTTATACAAATATGTGCCTGTATTATGTTTTTTTTAAATCATTTTTAACAACCAAATAGCTCAATAAGCTTCCTTTCTGGCAAATTCAGTGTTTTCTTTTCAATATTCTTATTTTATTCTCTTTATCTGTTATTTTATTCTATATATGATGTTTTTTCTGTGTCAGAATGAAGGAAGAACAAACTTTAATTTCCTATACAGCCTTATGTTGTATAACAATGAAAACATTTCCTTTATTTCTTTATATTGTGTATATTTAAGTTATCTTACATCCCTTAAAAACAAGGTCTCCTGACCTTCACTTTGGCGACCCCTAGTGGGGGTCCCGACCATGGCTTTAATCAACCCAGAGAGAGAGTTTAAATTAATTATATAAATAATTAAACAGCAGAAAATACAAAAGAATGAAAAACAACAAGAAGATTGTTATTAAATTATACATTATATATTATACTGTCAGGACCAGTGTTCAAAAAATTTAATTTATTACTTATTTACGAGTCAAGTCTGGATTTTGGGGAGAAACGACACAATTAAGTAGCAGAAAAGTAGTGTAACTAGTAATGTAACTAATTTTTAAAAAGACTAATGAGCAATAAATTAAATTTTTTGAGTAACTAGTCCAACACTGCTCATTAGTAATGTTTCTGTTCTTAGCATTCTTTCTAAGTTAGAAAGAAGAAAGAAGAACAAAAAGAAACATCAATATAAAGTAATGTATGCCGTTACGGCATACATTACTTTATATTGATAGTTGCATTAACGTGCTTCTATGTGCTAATTATAATAAATATTATAATAATAATAATACCCACATCCAGCTAATGCAGCGACACTTAACAGTCCCAGACAGGAGTTTTTTAATTAAAGTAATCCTTTTTATTTTTTTTTATAGGAAGAACAGCAATGTAACTAAAGAACTGACAATCTGCTAAAAAAACAAAAACATCTTTCAAATAAAAACGACGTCTGTATCTAGAAATATTCGTTCACCTGAAGTAGTCTTGTGTGTACAAACGGTTCCTGAAAAGGGATTTGGATTGTCCCGTCCCCTGGCTCCTCCCGAGTCCGCGGAGTTTT